CAACGGAATCCCCCCGCGGCACGCCAAATAGCATACCGCTAAGGGAATCCAAGAAGGCCGGGTACTCCGAACTGACATTCGGCGCATAAGTGCAGATGACAGTCAGAGACTTATCCCCGACCCGAAGGCGCAGAGAGACAGCCCTCTCGTTCACCGGGGTAAACTCCATTGTTAATGCACCGAGCTGTGAGGCCACCAATAGCCCCACCCCAGCCCGGCGTCGCTCACCCGCCGCAACTCCAGAGTAAAAGAGGGTCCAGCCCCTCTCCAGGAGGTTGGTTCCAGAACCCAAGCAATGTGTTGAAGTGAGCCCGACTATATCTAGTCGATACCTCTCAACCTCACGCACAAGCTCAGGCTCCTTCCCCACCAGAGAGGTGACATTCCATGTCCCGAAAGCCAGTTTTGTCAGCCAGGGATCGGACCGCCAGGGCCTCCCTTGGCCGCCACCCGATCCACAAAGCACTGAACCCCTGACATTCCCCCTGCGGGTGGTGGGCCCACCTGGGGACAGTCCCGCGTGCCTCTTTCGGGCTATGCCCGGCCGGGCCCCATGGGCCAAGGCCTGGCCACCAGGCACTCGCCAACGGGCCCCTCCCCCAGGCCTGGCTCCAGGGTGGGGCCCCGGTGACCCTAGTCCGGGCGAGGGAAACGGGACTTTGTTATTTAACTTGTTCATGGGGTTCTTTTGGATTGCTCTTTGTCTGGCCCCTCCCCTGGGACCTTTTTGCCTTGGGAGACCCTACCAGGGGCTATTGCCCCGGACAACATAGCCCCCAGGTTTGCGGAGGCACGCAAACCCCTCCACCACGATAAGGTGGCAATCCAAGGAGGAGGATTTGGAATACATGTTTACAAATACAGCGTTTAACTGCAAAGCGCAAAGAATTTTGGGAACTTCGTCAACGAAGCGGGAATGCCAGAAGCAGCTAAAATTGTCCGTCGTCTTTTTATGGAATCCACAATCATCAGGTGTTGTAATCGTTTTATTTTTCGTGCTTTTTATAATAAGTATGCAAAATAGATAGTACTTTTGAAAAGTTATACTGGTGCATTAAAAAAAACTTCCCGTTGCTGTGCAGTAAACCTACTATAGTTATTTTACGCATCCAAAGCAGCCCAAAAGCGTGCAGTTTCTGTCTAATATTAAATCTATTAACTTGTATTAGTTAAGCCATCCACTGCAATCATGAGTTTATGGACAGTGTCACGTTCGGAAGGCAGGCGAGCCGTGGAAGCAGGCGAGAGCAGCCAGGAAGTCAGGTAAACGAGGTTTATTGAGGGACGGACGGACAGGCACGGACATCTAGGGACACTACAATGACGGATCTGGGCAGACTAACTGAGACAAGGACTAAATACAAAAGACAAGCCACGGGTAACGAGCCACAGGTGAGAACAATCAGGGATGAACACAAGGTAACGAGGTGGGCGTGGCACACATCAGGAGCGGACAGAGCGGGGCGTGACAGACAGTGTGGTTTTCATTTATAAGATTTCAATATTACTTTGACTGCCGTCATTCCACCTATGTGAATTTTATCTGAGAACCTAGAACAGACACTGAAGGCTTTGGAGTATGAGCATTCACTGTGAAACTTTAACAGACATCAATGTTCTCAGACAACTAGAGGCCTCTCTTGAAAAATATGGTAGAATTATCACAGAATTTTTCCAGCAAAAACCTACCAATGAAGCAGTTAAAGCTGTTCTGATGAGAAGCAACACCAGTGTGGCACCTCCCTATGTTCTGATGAGAAGCAGCACCAGTGTGGCACCTCCCTATGTTCTGATGAGAAGCAGCACCAGTGTGGCACCTCCCTATGTTCTGCAGATTCTGATGGCTCACTTCAAAGATCAGGCTGATGCTCTTCTCCTACAGGCAGATGTAAGTGTAAAGAATATAAACAGTTATCTTTGTCTGTCTTTGTAACAGATTGTAAATATTAACCCACATTGAAATATTAACCTATCACATGTATTGATATATTTTTTTAAATCATCCCTTTTTTTTTTAGGTAGCCGCCTCTGCAGCTGATATTGAAGGGTCTCTGACTTTGCCTGATAGTCCTCGAATGATTGCCCTAAGTATGGATGTATGTATAACATTTTTTATTTAAATGGATCGATTTTAGTCACATGCTTGGTCAAGGACAATATTATATTACTCTGAATTTTCGTAAAGAAATCGCTGGATGGTGTCCATAGAGGGCCATGTAGTGACTGAGGGAGAGTCATTCACTATGGGTCTTGCCACACTGTTCTCCAGCTTTTGCAATTTTAACCTGCAGTATCAGGATGAGGCATGCTGCACAATAGAATTTATTCAAAGGTACTATGGTCATTTCTATCACTTCATACATTGATAAGTGCATTGTGTTGCATTGAAGGCCATGTAAAAATGTCCACCTTAACCCAGAATGTGGATCTAAAGCTCACCAAGGAAAAGTCACCAGCAAGCGAACAGGCAAGGTGGTGCAGAAGAAAAAAACTGTCCTGAATCCACGTGTCCACATTCATGAGGAAACTGATGGACTTCCAGTGGGATTTCATATAATGTGAATGTGGGCAGGGTGCACTGTCAACCATCACACTGCAGGGCACACACTCTCACAGTTACTCACTACTGGCCAGTTTACAGTTGTCAATCAACCTATAGAACATGCTTTTGGACTGTGGGAGAAAACTGGAGCCCCTGGCGGAAACCCACACGAACACAGGGAGAGCATGCAAAATCCACACAGAAAGCCTCAACGGCAGTTCGACCAGGGAGGTCGAACCCAGGACCTTCTCACTGTGAGGCGGCAGCAGAAACCGCTGTGCCACCACACTGCCCACATGTGCGAATATATTTACACAAAGCATCATCTGTATTTAGCCGTATATTTAGTCAGTGAATGAATTCTTTTAATGCATCATTATGTTCACTTTCCTCCAGATGCATGTCCAAATGTGAGCGCCAGGCTTAAAATGAAAAGGTCTCCAAAATCAGTGGCATTAAACAACGACAACCTTCAACCCTGTTCTAATTTCATGAAACATGCATTAATCCATATGAGGTTGGAACTTCCTTGGTTCACCTTTACCCTCATCTGTCAGAGTCACTCACGCGCCTCCCTCTCCTTCGAACCCTCAGACAGATGTCACTTAGCAAAGGCTCTAAACAACAAAGTTCCATAGACTGGTCCAGTGTTATCGTTGTTTTTGTTGTGTACATGAAAACAAACCTGTTCAAACTTAAACAAATAATCCATGTTGTTTTAAAAGGCTTTTAAAAAGATGTTTCTAAATTGTAGTCTGTAAATGACTGTTGAATTGTTGCTTAGAAATTAAGAAGGCTTTGAATTTTTTAAGATTCTGTGAATTTTGACAAATATTTAACAGAATTACAATTTTAGTGACTTGTGATGGTGAGTCAAATAAATGTTCTGCTTGGTTTATAGTGTCTGTTCAAATTACTGCAAGTTAATGCAAGTTCCTGTATTGTAGTTAAAAACAGTATATTTAACTACAGTAATAATCTGTTTGGAGAATAAAATGCTGTAAAATACATTTTATTTGGTAAATATTAACTGCTAAAATACAGGAAAAAGTACAAAAGTACATTAATATCCTGCATAACTGATTACAGTGAAAATTTCCTGTAATTTTACATACCTATTTTTCTTTTCAGTGCACTACCTGTATACAAACTAGGGATGGGCCGATCCACATATTTTTTCAGTTCCAATCCCAGTAGACAACTGCCGATACAAGAGCTCTTTTTACTTTAATATTAATCATTTGAGGCGAACTGATCCCACCTTTTCAATGCCTGTTATGTGCCGTAAGGTCATAGGTTCATGTCGCAAAGGTGTGCCAATGACGTATATATTTATTAGACATGACAACCTATCATTTCAGCTATGCTATGGTAATGCAGTGCATTAAAAATATATACAGTATGGGAAATTGACTGACTGATATACCAGATGAATGGATATAGCACGCAATGCTATTCTGAAGATTGCAAAATGTATATTTGCAAGAGTATATGCTTCTTCAGCCAAAAGCTGTAGAGTGTGAGGAATTGCTTCGACTTGACCAACAAAGCAACAAAGCAAATCGTTGCAGTCACGGCACAGCAAGTACAATACATATACACCATTGTGTAAAAGCACCTAGCGGCGAGGTGGAGAATACGCAGAGTGAAAACAGCACTCTCATAGACTGACAAGCAGTGTGTTCTTTCGTTATACCATCAATCAGGGGAGAGAGCGCGAACGCAGTCCCCCACTACCAGAAATTATGCAGGTGAGATTCCCATATTCGGGGAATTCGCAGGCCTCTAGTGTACAGTAGTACAAAGTCTGCAGTCACTGTAGTGTAGACGGACTGTAGACAGTTCAGCCATCTGATTGGCTTAGCCGACTGTAGACGGCCAATCGTCTGGCAGAATCTGACCGTAGACGACCGTAGACTACCTATTAGGCATGCAGCATTCTCTAGCTGCCGCCCACTAATTTGATTGAACGTGACATTCCCCTCGGAATTTAATCGCCGCTAATAAAAGATTGAGATGTCGTACAATAATTTCATTTACTGAGCAACTTTTCTGCATGAGCGGCGTTTTCAGTAAAGAGTTTCTGCACGGCGAACTTCTTCCTGTGGATTTTTCTACGGTAGATTTATCTACGGTAAGTGGTAAACTGAATACAGTTAACTTTATGATCGGTGTATGGTCAGTAACTCAAATGCCATGTAAAGGCAAGAATCCGACTGAGATCATCCAGTAATAGCCAGAGTACATTTAAAATACCAGTAAAGCACAGAATAATAGTTGTTATAACGCCAGAACTCCTTTAGCGCTAAAGATTAAATAGTATAAACGGGATGCACAGAATAAAATGTATACAAACTGTCACGGATACAAAATCTCCCTGTTTGTAAACTCTGCAGCCAGTCAAACCAGGGACACGTACAAAAAGTACAAAAGAAAGAGTTTCTGCCTGGTAAAAATGTCTCCATCTAAAGGTCTGAGCAATAGTGTGTATGATAGCTATGAACATTTTACCTCTGTTGTAGATAACTTGCAGGAATGAGGTGTAGCTCCTCTTCATCTTTTCAGCTTCTCCCTTTGGGGATCGCCAAATGTAAATAGTTTTTAGAACATAGTTTTTAAACCATATTCAGTGTTTTTTGTTAATTGTCTTAACTGTAGTGTCTGATACAGTAACATTCTTATGTAGCAAATTAGACAGCATTTATTATTCAAAAATCAGTAGTCCTGTTGTCAAATAACTTGAATGACAGAATTTGATTATCCAAATATACTTAAGATAACTTAAATATTACAATTGTCTTAAATGCCATGAACTACATGGTTTACTTGTGCTCACGTGATGAAGCAGATGTAATTAGGGTCGTGCTCTTCATTATCATGGCGAGCAAGAGTCTCCGCCTTTGTAAACAAAGACAATTGCTTGAACAATTAAAACACACTATGCCAAAAATGCCGATGGCTAAAGCTGTTAACAACACCAACGAAATCTTAATATGACTTACGTTATTTTTAACTTTTCCCGTAGTACACCTCTGCCAATCGGTGCACACGAATTTTCCTCCAATGACGTTCGGGATCAATTCCGAAGTCAAGTCTATGGTAGTGCAAAAGTCTACGGTAACTGTAGACAGTTAAGCGCTCTGGTTGGCTGAGATTCTACGGTCGCTTGCCGACTGTAGACAGTTAAGCGCTCGGATTGGCTGAGATTCTACGGTCGCTTGCCGACTGTAGACAGTTAAGCGCTCTGATTGGCTGAGAGTCAACGGTCGCTTGCCGACCGTAGACAGTTAAGCGCTCTGATTTGCTGTGAGTCTACGGTCGCCGACGACGCGGATGCAAATCTGAACTGCGCGAGCAAATCGATGTGAATCAAATTTACATCTAAACGCAGCATCAGCACCACTTCTTCGATAGTCTGTTTTCGCTACCCTCAGTGTTCACGTTTCAACTTGAAGTATTTATTACATTGCACAAAAGTATATAGTAGTGTCGTATATATTATATTACTTTTAACGGAAGATGGCGACTCCCGTAATTTGCGTCGTTAACCAAGACGCCCCCGAAAATCGCCAACAGGCTGTACTGGCCCTACCGGGAGAAGAGGATGATCTTCCCCAAACCTTCACCGGAGCTGTGCACACACAATGCATAACAAGTACAGTATGAGTGGTATTGAGACCGTGCTGAGTATCTGTCAAGTTACACTGAACCCTTTTAAACTTTTATAATAAAAAATCAATACCCTAAAGAAAGGGAGGTGTATGGCTTTCTGAGATACAAACTATGACATAATTAGAGAAGCAAAGTAGGGCTGGAGGATATTGGAAAAACAATTGACATTGCAATATTTATATTTTCTGCAATAAAAATTGCAGCATTTTATATTAAATGATTTGAATAGATGTGTTTGGAAAGAACTTCTAAATCTAGAATGAAGTTTTTGTATGAGAATGCATATAACTACAATAAATGGTTAAAAGCCATAGCTTATTGATCTTTACCCAATAACAACCAGATTTCTCATGTAGATTAGTGACTGAAAATGAGAACAGTGTGTGTAAAACAGTTAGCCGCTTAACACAGCATGGGATGGTGATGTGACATTGCAATGTTGATGCTGAAGAAAATTATTGTGCGGCCCTATTATGCACCGTGATATTAATGCTGATGGCACCGAAACTGATGTGTGTGACTCCAGCATACTGGACAAGCACAGAGCAGAGGTGACTAATCCACTCAGAAAGGCAGAGATAGTAAACTGGTGGCTGAAAGATCACCTCACAGAGTATGCAGAAAGCTTCCCACAAGTCTCCATTCTCCTTGAGGCCAACATCGACAGGTGTATCTGTGGTCAGAAAGGGTTTGAAGATCACACCTTTCAGGAGATGTGGGAGCTCTACAGGCAGTACTCCACCCAAAAAGACAGGCCAGAGCTTTACAGTCAGGAGCAGGCAAAGGTGATAAAGGCAGAGTAGTTCTGTGAGGAGGCATCACAAGTGTGCAGATGAAGAGGTTCAGGAGGTATATTTATGACAAAGAGAAAGTAAGTGCTATGAAACAGAAAAGGGGTCAGCAAAAACTTTAAAGTCTCGATAGTTACAATTTGTTTGTTGTCCAGCAACCCCAGGCAAGCACCTCCAAGTGCGATGACCCTTCATCGTGGTCAGGAGATGATGAGGAACTGCTAGCAACCAGTCAGTCCGCGGAAGGTATGTAAGATGCAGAGTTAACAGACAGACGGTTTTAAATAAATAATTCAAACTACTTGTTTGGTAAATCCTTAGACTCAGTCAAGTCCCACGAGTCTGCATTTAAAGGCGAGCCTAGCAGTCAGTCTCAGAAGACCAAGAGGCACGAGTTTGCTGTCCAGCCAAAGTGGTCCGAGGCTACTGTGCGGCAGAAGACGCCTGAGTTCACTAGCCGGCCCACCGAGTGCCCGTCCACAGGCCATGACTATCCCACAGAATCACCTCTGACTGACTCCCCTGTAAGTAATAATCATATTATATTTAATCAATATAAACAAGTTGTTCTCAATTACATGTTTTTCAGTTTAAGTTTTGACATAACTAATTACACAACCACCAAATATTTTTGTGTGTTGTACGTGGACCTAGAGGGTTGGGTGCGTCTGTGGGAAAACCCCAATGGCATCATGTCGGCCGACGTTTCCTGGCTCAAAGTCAGAGGTTCTTGGTCTTTGTGTGGCGTCCTGTTGGAGTGTGGAGATGCTCCCTGTAGTGTCCTCGAGGTGATGCGTGTGTGGGAACAGGACAGAATGTTCACCTCTACAAGTTTGGCTATCACTTAGCCTATGTGTTAGAGTTATTGTAATAAAGTGGAATATTACTGTGTATTTAAACATACAAATAGAAGTACAGTACATCATTTGCCTCTGTTTTGCCTTTGAATATGCACTTCAAGTACGTCACATTTGTGATGTGTCCAACTGGTATACAATGCTGACGGAGGTCCTGTGTTGAGGACCGTGCACAAAGGCAGCCTGGAGCGGGGAAGGTGGCACGATCGGTCGGTGGCTCGAATGGGATCCTGCTATCAGATCACAACTTAGCGAGGCTCATCAAGCCATGATTCCTGCCATTCTTACCACCAAGTGAGCATACAGCACTGCAAGAATTATTAGTTCAGGTAAATTTTAATATCTGCACCAATGTTTTGAAATTAATTATTTACTGCTGATTAACAAATTGTTATGCCGAATGGTCGGCTCCTCCAAACTCAATTGCGGTATCCCTGTGAGTCTGTTAATGAGAGACTTAAATGGGATTCACTAATTACCAGTATCGCTTAGTAACCTGGGTTAGAAGGCTCGTCCAGCGAGCTGCATCACCAGGTAATGTAAACGATTGGTAGCGAAGCGCCCCTCACGGCCGATGAGAGTCTTGCAATATTTCAGGCGAGTTTGAGGTTTCAGGTCGTGTAACTAGACCGCACAGAGGCAGGGACTATTGTGAGCACTCAATTAACGGAGGCTGAAGTTGTGTAAAAGACATGCATTTATTCCTAACTAACACTACACCTAACACACACACAACAAACACGAAATAACAGAATAGAAACAATGTAATTATGGAAATGCAATGACTGGAGTTAAAGGAGTAACCTTAAAAGGGAAATACTGTTCTGCAAAGCAAGCAGAGTTTGTGGTTGTTAGAATGAAAGGAAGTTGGTTTACTTGGCTGCAGAGTGGTGGGGGTGGGGTCTTGGCAGTTGGTTGCAGCAACTGATGAGCTGACGGGATGATGGCACTCAGGAAGGTGCAGCGTTTGTAGCAGTTGCTGGAGTGGAGCCCCTTTGATTAGTCTCCTTGTGAAGCTTTGTCTTGGTTGCAGATCTCTGTCCAGCTGGGCCTTCACTGGAGGGCTTCTCTTCTTCAGGCTGATGTTCTTTCTGCTACTCCCCTGGCTTTGTTCTGAGGTGCCAGGTTTTAGAGTCTAAAGTTCATGAATAGGGATGACCAGGAATTCGAAACCTGAACCAATGGCTGACCATCCATTTGGTGGCCTTTCGGAGGGGATGTCTGTGGCAATCCTTTTGGGATTTATGACCAGACTGATTCCCCTTTACTGATGATTTTCATTAAGCTGGTGTAACTTTTGATACATACACTTTCATGGTAACCACTGACCAGATTTGGAATCAGGAGTGATTTTCCACAGTTTGACACCAAACATGCCATACCAGCTTCACACCTCATACCATCTGTATTAATTATTAACAATTACTTATATCATGTATGTTACTGACTCACATCAGTATACGGTACAGGTGTTTTGGGTTGCATCTCAACAGATGTTACACTTTGTACAGACATTACATGACATATTCACATTCAAACAGCACATCTTACCCTAAGATAGGCGTGGCTGTTAGTTTGTGGTAATACCAATTTAAGTTGCACATCTGGGAACAACATATTTTGGTTGGTGTGGCTTATCCCAATTGATCATCTCCCCCGAATGGATAATGTACAACTTAATTCAGTTCTTTTTATACAGCATAGCAAGTATAGAAATGCTAACAGGCCATAAAGATCAGATAAGGGCCACAGAGTAATGTGGAAGAGAAAAGGGGGGGGTTGTTAAAGAAAGAAGAATCTCTGAAAGTTAGGACACACTGATAGCTGGTTACACTATTTAATTTCCAAGACTCTTCTGGTAAAACCATGAGGACATATATGCAGTGGTAGCTCTACCTATTTATTCAAATTTATATAAGTATTCAAGTGTAAAGGGTTAAAATAGGTGAACATGGTTATAAGGGTGGCACACAAATCACTAAGATTGTCTAAGGACACATACAAACATAACCTATCTGTATATTGAGGCTAGTAGTCATGAGTCTTTGAGGTCCACTCTGCTGTCTGTAGCTCCCTAAATCTTTGGGCAATAAAAGTTGGAGTGCTGGCCTCCCTTGTTTATTTTAAGACCTGTAAAAACAGTAGCTCAAATTCAGCTCAAAATATTTACGGTGCCTCTGCTTACAGGCATGGTGTGGACAGGAATGTTGTGCGTCTTCTGAGGGAGCGGACTGAAGGAAACACTATGGTCAAGGTGTGGCGGCAGATACAGGAGAATCACGCTGAAGAGTACCTTCAGTGCAAGGACCTCTACACCCCGCTCCTTATGACTTTAGTGGAACCCGGAGGGATTGTCTCTGCATTAAAGCACACAGTCAAGGCACCACCTCCTCAAAGAGAGATTCCCTCTGCACGTCTCTTGCGCCACGCCTTCCTGCTGGCCGAGGCTGACAATGTGCGGGACTTCCAGAGCTGGATCCTCTCCACTTTTGGCACTGTGCTGAAAATGGATTCCGCCAAGAAAGTATGTGAACATACTATATGATTAAAAAGAAAAAAAAAATTTTTATTGCAGCTTTTTCTAATTTTTATCCAATAATTTTCACATAAAATGATCACCTATTGTTAAAATCTAACAGATTATCACTTTA